TGACTCCAAGGTACGTCACAGAATCCAGGTTTACTACAAAACCGGCAGCGTTAGGATCCGAGAGATCCTGCTGCTCAGATCCTCTTCACTGATAATCCTAAATTACTCTTGTCGAGCGAGTTAATGACTGTCAAGAACATTTAGCTTCACGACCGAGATATATAAAGCTTTTTGAGTCACTTCGATGTCCTCACTGTAAGGACGTATCGAGTTAACATTTTTTTTTTCATTTGCGTTAATATAATTAGACAGAAAATAGTATACGAGAAGAAAAAATGAATCACACGGGTGAATATTTGAACGAAAAGATCCCATTCAATGTATTCTGAACTTTTTTACATCATTTTATCTACATTAAAGATCTTTTTTTTTCATGCATGAAACATTATCGTGATCTCGTTTAGGAAGAGATCAAAGGTACGGTCTCCTTTTACCTCTTGCGATAACTTAGTAAAAAATGCTTTCGTTAAAGGAAAAAAAAACGAAAGTGAAAAGGTCAAATGTCGGCGGAATTTTTCTCATCACTGACACTCTCTGCCGGGAGACGCTTTGTGACTCATTAAATTGCATCAAAAAGGGAGAGATTTGTCACTCAGCTAGTTGTAATAGTATGACAGTTTTATGTTTGGAATGATATGAGAGAGAGAGGGAGGGAGGGAGAGAGAGAGAGAGAGAGGGAGAGAGAGAGAGAGAGAGAGGGAGAGGGAGGGAGAGAGAAAGAGAGAGAGGGAGAGAGAGAGGGAGGGAGAGAGAGAGAGAGAGAGAGAGAGAGAGAGAGAGAGAGAGAGAGAGAGAGAGAGGGAGGGAGAGGGAGGGAGGGAGGGAGAGGGAGAGAGAGAGAGAGAGAGAGAGAGAGAGAGAGAGAGAGAGAGAGAGAAAGTGAAAGCGAAAAAGAAAGAGGAAGAGAAAAAAAGAAAGAAAGAGAGAGAGAGAGAGAAAGAGTACTAATAATGCTATCGAGAGAGAGAAAAAATTATTCGGGAATTATTTGGAATTATTTGTACTCACCCAGTTGTAATATATGTCACTTTTATATTTGGAATCATATCAGAGAGACACAGACAGGCAGAGAGACAGGCAGACAGAGAGACAGGCAGACAGACAGACAGACAGACAGACAAAAAGACAAAAAGACAGACAGCGTGTTATTAATGCTATCAAGTAATTACTCTTTGATTCATTAAAACGATTTCTGCCTGAAAGTAAAATGAAAACTAGTCCTTACGAGCACACTTGAAGCCTCCCACTGTAAATAATAAAAAAAATAAGTAAAGAAAGAAAGAGAGAAGGAAAGGAAACAAGATAATTAGCGATAACCGTATAATACGATATAATTCTCCACGGAAAAGGAATATCCGTGAAATAAAGAGTTGGTTTGATATTTTCCTTTAATACATGTTTATCACAGCTGCTGAATTTTTATCTTTTACTGTCTATGCGTTGTGATATTTTCGTTGTGATATTATCTATTTTTTTTAAATAATATATATCTTAAAAGAGTATATGGCATCTTTGTGCTCTCTCTCTCTCTCTCTCTCTCTCTCTCTCTCTCTCTCTCTCTCTCTCTCTCTCTCTCTCTCTCTCTCTCTCTCTCTCTCTCTCTCTCCTCCAATTCTCTTCTTTGCTCTCCTCCTCTCTTCTATTCATTCTCTCTCGCCCACTTCCTCTTTCCTTCCCTCCCATTCTCCCCCATACATCGTACCCATTTCAAAAGGCCAAAATTTCTAAATAAAAATCATTTTAAGCCAACCTCCACCCCCCCCATCTCTCCCTCCCCCTCTAACCCCCCTTCTCTCTCTCTCTCCTCCCCCCTACAGAACATCCTGGAGCTCCTGTGCGGCAGCGGAGGCGCGGGAGGAGGAGGAGGCGCCGCAGGAGGAGGAGGAGGATCGGGCGCCGCAGCCTCCGAGGGCGGCCTAGGAGACTCCCCCGCCGCTTCGTACATCACGCCGGGGTCGCCGAGTGGCCGGAAGGAGGCGGCGGCGGCGGTGTGTCTGCTGGTGCGGCTGTGCAGCGTGTTGCTGTCGGGCGTGCAGGAGTTGCAGTTCACGGCCATGTCGACGCTCAACAAGGTCATCGACGCGGCCGTCGTGCACCGCATCGGCGACCTGGGCATCGACCCCGAGAACCACCTGCTGCCGCCCGGCTCCGAGAGGTACGTCCGCGGCGATGCTGCTGCTGCTGTTGATGCTGTTGTTATTATCGTTATTTTTATCATTTTTCTATTATTGTTATTGTCGTTATTATTATTATTATTATAATTGTTATGTTGTTATTATTTTGTTATTATTATTATTATTATTGTTATTATTATTATTGTTATGTTGTTATTATTTTGTTATTATTATTGTTTTATCATAATTATTATTATTGTTATTGTTATTATTATTGTGTTCATAATTTCTATTAGGATATATTAATATTATTACTATTAGTATCATTATTATTAGTAGTATCATTATTATTATTAGTATCATTATTATTATTATTTTTATTATTATTAGTAGTAGTAGTAGTAGTAGTATCATTATTATTATTATTATTATTATTATTATTATTATTATTATTATTAGTATCATTAGTAGTAGTAGTAGTATCATTATTATTATTATTATTATTATTATTATTATTATTATTATTATTATTATCATTATTATTGTTATTGTTGTTGTTATTATTGTTATTGTTATTGTTATTGTTGTTGTTATTATTGTTATAGTTATTGTTCTTGTTGTTATTATTATTGTTATTATTAGCAATAGTCGTAGTATCATTATTATTATTAGTGTATAATCATGATTATTATCATTGTTATCATTATCACTTCCATTATTATGATATTTACGGTTAGTGTTATTGCTATTATTTCTTCCAACTTATTCATCCATCTCTCTCTTGTTTTATTATTCTTTTTAATTGTATTTCAGAGAATTTTACCAGATTAGGTAATCTTGCTGTATAAAAAAAAAAAATTATTAAGGGTAAAACAGAGAAAAGAGGAGGAAAAACAGAGAAAAGAGGAGGAAGGGAGGGAGGGAGAGGAAGAGGGAGGGAAGGAAGAAGGGAAGGAGGAAGAGGGAGAGGAAGAGGGAGGGAGGGAAGAAGGGAAGGAGGAAGAGGGAGAGGAAGAGGGAGGGAGGGAAGAAGGGAAGGAGGAAGAGGGAGAGGAAGAGGGAGGGAGGGAAGAAGGGAAGGAGGAAGAGGGAGAGGAAGAGGGAGGGAGGGAAGAAGGGAAGGAGGAAGAGGGAGAGGAAGAGGGAGGGAGGGAAGAAGGGAAGGAGGAAGAGGGAGAGGAAGAGGGAGGGAGGGAAGAAGGGAAGGAGGAAGAGGGAGAGGAAGAGGGAGGGAGGGAAGAAGGGAAGGAGGAAGAGGGAGAGGAAGAGGGAGGGAGGGAAGAAGGGAAGGAGGAAGAGGGAGAGGAAGAGGGAGGGAGGGAAGAAGGGAAGGAGGAAGAGGGAGAGGAAGAGGGAGGGAGGGAAGAAGGGAAGGAGGAAGAGGGAGAGGAAGAGGGAGGGAGGGAAGAAGGGAAGGAGGAAGAGGGAGAGGAAGAGGGAGGGAGGGAAGAAGGGAAGGAGGAAGAGGGAGAGGAAGAGGGAGGGAGGGAAGAAGGGAAGGAGGAAGAGGGAGAGGAAGAGGGAGGGAGGGAAGAAGGGAAGGAGGAAGAGGGAGAGGAAGAGGGAGGGAGGGAAGAAGGGAAGGAGGAAGAGGGAGAGGAAGAGGGAGGGAGGGAAGAAGGGAAGGAGGAAGAGGGAGAGGAAGAGGGAGGGAGGGAAGAAGGGAAGGGTGACGAAGGGCGGGAAGCGGTAGGGATGGCAGAAGGGGACGTAGGCAGCGGGAGAGGCACGCTGGCGTGGGCGGTAAGCCGTGACGGCGGCCGAGGGCGCATTCCGCGGGAGTGGAGGACGCCGGTACGGAGACGCGTGGCGCGGCAATATTGAGGGCGGCAGCAGGGAAGGCGGACGAGGACGCGTCCTCTGGCTGTTCGTGCCGCCCTTGCCGTCTTCCGCTGCGCCTGCCGCGTGGTCTTTCTTTCCTCCTGGCCGGCGGCCTCGGTTCGCTGCCGCTTCTTTCTTGCCTCCGGTCCGGCGTTCCGCGGGCTCGGCAGCGTCGGTCGTTCCTCCTTTCCGTCTGCCGCGGTCGCCGTCCGTCGCGGTCTGGCCTCCTTTCCTTCTTCCGTCTTTCCTCTGCCTCCTTCTTTCTGTTTCCTCCTTTCCTGCGTCCTCTCTGTCCTCTGGCTTTCTTTCCGCCGGGCCGTGCTTTTCCTCTTTCTCCTTCCTACTTTCTTTTCTTTCCGCCTTTCCTTCTTCCTCTTTCTCTTCCCTCGTTCTTGTCTTGCCTCCGGTTCATTCTGCCTCTTGCTACGGCCGTCTTTCTTTCTGGCCCCTTTCCTTCTTCCTGCGGGCGCGGCCTCTTTCTGTCTTGTGCCTCCGTCCCGTTGCTGCCTCTTTCTCTTCCCTCTGTCTGGCCTTTTCCCTCCGTTCCTTCTTCGCTCTCTTCCTCTTCTTGCGTTTTCCTCCGTTCCTTCGCCTCTTTCTCTTCCTCTTTCTTGCTGTTCCTCCGTGCCTTCTTCCTCTGTCTCTTCCGGTCTTTCTTTCTTTCCCTCCTGTCCGTTCGTCCTCGTTCTCTTCATCTTTCTTGCTTTCCCTCCTTTCCTTCTTCCTCTTTCGCTTCCTCTTTCTTTTTCGTGTCTCCTCCTTTCCTTCTTCCTCTTTCTCTTCCTCTTTCTTTCTTTCCTCCTTTCCTTCTTCCATCTTCCGTCTTTCGGGTCGCGCTATTCCTCCTTGCCTCCGTCCCCTCTTCTACTCTCTTCCATACTCTCTTTCTCTCTTTCCCTTCGCCTCTCGCTCGCCCTCCTCCATCTCCCTCTTTCCCCAACCCTCCCCTTCTCTTCCCCCCCCGCCCACCCTCCTCCACCTACTCCACGACACTACCTGCCCAACAATCTCTGACTCCGCGCACGCTCACGTCCTCGAAGCCATGACCACAACCCCTACCACGCC